CCCCTCCACACCTGGCTCATTTTTTTTTTTGTATTTTTAGTAGAGATGGAGTTTCACCGTGTTAGCCAGGATGGTCTCTATCTCCTGACCTTGTGATCCGCCCGCCTCAGCCTCCCAAAGTGCTGGGATTGTAGGCGTGAGCCACCATGTCCGGCCTGTGAGCAGAATTTTTTAAAGCACCCCAAGGAAGGCTGATGGGCTGACAGAGTTGAGAGCTACTGTCTTGAACCGTTGGCTCAGCAAGAGTTGGGGTGACTCTTGAGAGACAGACAACGTTGAGGCTGTGGCCTATGGCCCTCCCACAGGAGACTTCCCAAGGTCCTTGGCCTTTGTTGGAACCTGGTACAGCAGGTTCTGGGAACTGTGCGGGTGGGAGGCAGGGGCAGCAGAGCCGGCTGTAGCCAAACTCACTTGAATTGCCCTAGAAATTATTTCTGGGACATGAGAAGGCCAGTGTTCTCTGGTAACTGCTACTCCCTTCTTGTCCCTACTTCCTGCCTCAGATACCTGCTGTACAACTTCCCGATGACCTGTGCCTTCATAGGTGTCGCCAGCAACTTCACCTTCCTCAGCGTCATCGTGCTCTTCAGCTACATGCAGTGGGTGTGGGGGGGCATCTGGCCCCGACACCGCTTCTCTTTGCAGGTGGAAAGGAGCAAGGACCCCCTTTTGTCCCTTTGATCTTTGTGGGTGGTCAGGGGTATGTTGGGGCTTAGGGTGTGAGGGCCCTGATTGTTAGTGAGGGAAGTCAGTCCCTGCTGCTCAGTGGTTTTTCCTCCACAGGTTAACATCCGAAAAAGAGACAATTCCCGGAAGGAAGTCCAACGAAGGATCTCTGCTCATCAGCCAGGTAAAGGTGTTGGTTGGGGAGCTGTTGAGGTGGGCTAGGTTGAGCTGGCCTGGACCAGAGGGAGTCCCTGCTTCATCCAGTATGAGGCTTAGGGTATCACCGACTGAGACAAGGGTCAAAGGAAAGGTGAGGAAGGTGGGGTTGACACTGCCATCCAGGCACAGCTACCCTAACCCTATCCTGTCCTCTCCTGCTTTTGAGGCACAGGGCCTGAAGGCCAGGAGGAGTCAACTCCACAATCAGATGTTACAGAGGATGGTGAGAGCCCTGAAGATCCCTCGGGGACAGGTATGGCGCAGCCGCCACACTCTCTCCTTCCTGACTCCTTGGCTTTCTCCTTGAGTGTCTGGGTCTGACCCCTGTGTTCCGCTTTTGGCTGCAGAGGGTCAGCTGTCTGAGGAGGAGAAACCAGATCAGCAGCCGCTGAGCGGAGAAGAGGAGCTAGAGCCTGAGGCCAGTGATGGTGAGGGGCATCCTGCAGCGTGTCCTGGGTGGGACCCCCGGTTAATCTAATATCCCATTTGGGATTTTGTTTTTCCCTTTCCTGGCCCAGGTTCAGGCTCCTGGGAAGATGCAGCTCTGCTGACGGAGGCCAACCTGCCTGCTCCTGCTCCTGCTCCTGCTTCTGCTTCTGCCCCTGTCCCAGAAACTTTGGGCAGCTCCGAACCCGCTGAGGGTGCTCTCCGACAGCGCCCCACCTGCTCTAGTTCCTGAAGGGGCAGACTCCTCACATTCCAGCACTTTCCCACCTGACCCCTCTCCCCTCGTTTTTCCTTCAATAAACTATTTTGTGTCAGCTTCCTCCTTGACTCTGAAATGGATTCACGGCCATTTGAAAACCCTGTGTCCCCCAGACATCTCTCACTTTCCACCATTAGAGGGGAGGTCTTCTTGTCAAGGGCTGCTCATGGGGAAGGCCTCCAGACCCGGGCTATTTTAAGCACAGATGTTTCCATTCATAAGCCTAGGAAGTCCAAGGAGGGAGAAGCTATCCTGACCCCTAGCAAGCTTCCTACTCCCTGCATGTGACTTTCATCTCCCCCAGGGGAGGGGGCTGGTGTAGGGCAGGTCTGGAGAGCTGGAGACATCATTCTGGCCCCCTCTATACCCCTCCCTTCCTCCCTTTCTCTGTCCATTGGGAGGCAGAAGACAGGAAATGACTGCCATGGATGTGGTATGATTTTTACCAAAACAGCATTTTGCAGCTCAGGCCCGTGCTGTTCGCAGCTGTTTTCCTCTAATACCAGCCAGGTGGCCGCCTCCTATGTTCCCCTCCCCGTCCCTTCGTATGACTTCAGCCTTCGCATTCTAAGCGCCTGGCTGCTTTCCACATTCCATTCCCCTCCAGAACCCAGGCATCCTGGGCTCCAGCTGAAACCATTGCATGTGGTTTTCCCAATCCCTGGCCCCGTGACTCAGTCCCTCTGAAGGCAGCAGCCCTCTTTTTTGGCAATCACCGGGGAGGTGGGGGGAGGAGGAGGGGAGCTAGGTGGTGACATCACAGTCGAAGGTTATAAAAGCTTCCAGCCAAACAGCATTGAAGTTGAAGATACAACCTGACAGCACAGCCTGAGATCTTGGGGATCCCTCAGCTTAACACCCACAGACATCGGCTGGTGGATTCCCGCTGCATCAAGGCCTACCCACTGGTGAGGAGCTGCTATGGGCCAGAGAGGAGGAGGAGGGCAGGCAGGGGCCAGGACTCCTTGGACAGGATTTGCACAGATAGCAGGTGGGGAGGGAGGATTCCAGCGTCCCTATTTTTTTCTCTTTTGTTTAAAAAAAAAATGCGGCTGTGCTTACAATATTTCTCTCTACTGTTCTGTTTTCTCACTTCTGTCTCATTTCTGGGTTTTTGCCTGTGTAACTGACAGATACATGTTTTTGTTGAGTTGAGGTCTCACTCTGTCACCCAGGCTGGAGTGCTGTGGGGTGATCATGGTTCACTGCAGCCTTGAACTCCTGGGCTCAAGTGATCCTCCTGAGTAGCTGGGACCATGTGCATGTGGACTATATTTTTAATATTTTTTAATTTTTTAATACTTAATTTTTAAATACTTTTTTTTTGTAGAGATGGGGTCTGTGTTGCCCCAGCTGTTTTGGAATTCTGGCCTGAAGCAATCCTCTTGCCTTGACCTTCCCAAAGTGTTGGGATTATAGGCATTCCCAGCTTTGTTACTTGTTTGGCTTAGATCTTTTCTCTGGGTGGCAGCTAGCAAATATCCTACCGTTCTTCCCTGGGCTAAGTAAATCATTTCCTCCTCTCCCCCAGCACTTTATTAACTGTTTCTAATACTTAACACATGCTGATCATGCATCTGTCTCATGTGTCAGACCATGTTTTCTTTTTTGTCTAAAACCAAGCACATAGCCTGGACTCAGAAGTTGGTTGACAAATAAGTGTGTCTGCCTCATTCCAACCTCTTTCCTCTTCTGGTCCCCAGTTGCATTTTCCTGTCCAGACAGAGGACATGGCAGGCTTTCGGGCTGAACAGGCTTTATCTAACCACCCCTTCCCTTCCAGTCTCCATGCTGGGCTCTCCCTGCCTTCTGTGGCTCCTGGCCGTGACCTTCTTGGTTCCCAGAGCTCAGCCCTTGGCCCCTCAAGACTTTGAAGAAGAGGAAGAAGATGAGACTGAGACGGCGTGGCCGCCTTTGCCGGCTGTCCCCTGCGACTACGACCACTGCCGACACCTGCAGGTGCCCTGTAAGGAGCTACAGAGGGCCGGGCCGGCGGCCTGCCTGTGCCCAGGACTCTCCAGCCCTGCCCAGCCGCCCGACCCGCCGCGCATGGGAGAAGTGAGCATTGTGGCCGAAGAGGGCCGCGCAGTGGTCCACTGGTGTGCCCCCTTCTCCCCGGTCCTCCACTACTGGCTGCTGCTTTGGGACGGCAGCGAGGCTGCGCAGAAGGGGCCCTCGCTGAACGCTACGGTCCGCAGAGCCGAACTGAAGGGGCTGAAGCCAGGGGGCGTTTATGTCGTTTGCGTGGTGGCCGCTAACGAGGCTGGGGCAAGCCGCGTGCCTGAGGCTGGAAGAGAGGGCCTCGAGGGGGCCGACATCCCTGCCTTCGGGCCTTGCAGCCGCTTTGCAGTGCCGCCCAACCCCCGCACTCTGGTCCACGCCGCCGTCGGGGTGGGCACGGCCCTGGCCCTGCTGAGCTGTGCCGCCCTGGTGTGGCACTTCTGCCTACGCGATCGCTGGGGCTGCCCGCGCCGAGCCGTCGCCCGAGCAGCAGGGGCGCTCTGAAAGGGGCCTGGGGGCATCTCGGGCACAGCCAGCCCCACCTGCGGCGCTCAGCCCGGCTCCTGGAAAGAGGGGAACCCGCTGCCTCCAGGGAGGGCTGGACGGTGAGCTGGGAGCCAGCCCCAGGCTCTAGAGCCACAGCAGAGTCATGGTTCTCTGGGCTGAGCGCTTGTTTAGGTCCGGGACTTGGCGCTTTGTTTCCTGGCTGAGGTCTGGGAAAGAATAGAAAGGGGCCCCCAATTTTTTTTTTTTAACGGTCAGATAGTAAATAATGTAACCTTTGCGGTTTAAGAGGATAAAATGGAGAATATTATGTGGGTATTTATATGACCCTTGTAACCATTTATAAAGGAAAAACCACTCGACATAGTAATGCCAACCTAGAGTAGCAGCTACTCCGGAAGCTGAAATGGGAGGATCTCTTGAGCCCAGGAGTTTGAGTCCAGTCCAGCCAGGGCAACACAGCCAGACGCCCTTGTGTTTTGTTTTGTTTTGTTTTTTGAGAAGAAGTCTCCCTCTGTTACACAGGGTGGAGTGCAATGACACGATATATGTCGGTTCACTGCAACCTCCACCTCCTAGGTTCAAGTGATTCTCCCGTCTCAGCATCCTAAGTAGTTGGGGTTACAGGTGCCCACGACCATGCCCGGCTAATTATTGTGTTTTTTTAGTAGAGATGGGTTTTCACCATGTTGGTCAGCCTGGTCTCAAACGCCTGACCTCAGGTACTCCACCCACCTTGGCCTCCCAGTGTTGGGATTACAGGCGTGAGCCACGGTGCCCAGGCAGACCCCCTTCTTTAAAGATGTAAAATCATTCTTAGTCCATGGGCCTTACAAATCAGGTCACTGGCCCATTGCTTGTAGTTAGTTGATCCATATCATGCATCCTCAAAACGGCTCTGTCAATGAGTGTCTTCAGTGGGATTCTGAGAATAAATTTATATTCTTGCTAGGTAGAACAAAACAAAAATGACAGTAATACCAAGGAATTTCTCATCCCTTTTTTCCCTCCATTTGTATTTATTGCATATCCACTGTAAAAACATTAAAGGATCTTTAAAAGGAAGTAATGTTTATTGTTTACGATTCTTTTCAAATCACTGTCCACACACCCACTTTTCAGAATAGTATACATACTTCTGTCGCCCAGGCTGGAGTGCAGTGGCACGATCTCGGCTCACTGCAAGTTCTGCCTCCCGGGTTCAACCCATTCTCCTGCCTCAGTCTCCCAAGTAGCTGGGACTACAGGCGCACACCACCATGCCCAGCTGATTTTTGTATTTTTTTTTTTTTTAGGAGAGTCAGGGTTTCACCATGTTGGCCAGGATG